TGTGTGTGTGTGTGTGTGTGTGTGTGTGTGTGTGTGTGTGTGTGTGTTGTAAGTTTTTCTACATGTATATGCAAGTTGAGACACTGGAGGGACTGCTGTCCTCACATACAGAGTAGACCCCTCCCTCTGAAACCATTTATCTACTCTCACATTCAAACATAGTTTTGGGGTCATTTTATTGTTTCACTGTTGTAAATACCTACAGCAGAACATTGTGCTACACCTAAGATTAGCCTAGCTTAGGTCTACTGAATGTTACATTTGTATTTGCCTATAATATATATATATATATACATATATAAAGCCAAACAAATAATATTTTTGTGTGTGTGTGACTGAGTGTGGCACAAGCCCATTCGCTCATGACAAAGACTTTCACGAAAATATGCTTACATTTATAAACATCACTTAAACAGGAGAAAACAGTGTATTTGTTGGGAACTATTTTCAGCTGCTGATTAATACAAATTTGGTGCTCTAGTGAGTGTTTACAGCACCAGAACAGTAAACAAAACAAACTACAGTCCCTATGTTAATGATAATGAAGGGATATGTCACTCATTGCAATGGTGTAGCTCTGATGGGTTTTAAAGAGTTTTTCGACAACAATGGAGCTGAATGTCAAAGCTTGATTAATTGTTGGATTCGGTCTTCTCGTGGGATTTGTTGACATTAGGAATACAGAATACAACTAGACCTTTAATAGGTTGTGCTAACAAGAACAGAGCAAAGCTTAGCACTGTGTATTTCCCTAGCTGTGGTCAGAGGTTGCTAATGATCCCAGTAAAATGAGCTAAAGTTAGCCAATCTCAGCACTCAACAAAACATCAAACTGCATGCAAAGAAAATGGCATCCCTTAGTTTGGCTCAGAGCATGTGGGAAAGGTAGTGTAGTTCAATTTCCCATTCACCAACTGGCAAGTGAAAGCTTGTGGTATTGGATCATGTGAAAAGATGAACAAGGATTGGATCTAAATATAACACGGTGCATGAAGACATGTTCCCCAAGTCCTCAAACTCTACCCTTTCACACTTTCCCTACTTTCTGTCTCTACCCCTCCTCCTCCCTTTTTCCCTCTCCTTTCCATCTCTCCTCTGGCTTGTGTCTCTGCCGCATATTTCTGTACGAACAGTTTGCGTCATGTGCTCTTTGGACTGTTTCTCTCGTTTAAAATTAACGGCCATCTCTCTCTCTCTCTCTCTCTCTCTCTCTCTCTCTTTCTCTCTCTCTCTCTCTCTCTCTCTCTCTCATTTGTGTTTGCCTGTGTGCACATATGCAAGCTACGCTGGCATCTTTGTGACAGAAAGGAATGCTCTTAAACTGAGTTTAATGTCTCTTAAAACAAAACAGATGGTTTTTCTGCAGCCGAGTGAAAAAAACAAAAAACTAAATGCTGTGGCAATGAACTTTTGAAAGATTCACATGTTGTTGCAGAAAGATAGCAACGCACACAAATGTGTGGGTGTGGATGTGGGTTCGGTGACTGAGGGATTCTGGTTTGCAGTCAATGGAGTGATGTTTTTTTTTTCACTTTTTTTCTTCTTTTTTTTTTTTTTTTCAAAGAATCTGTTTTTATTCCAGTTAAAATAATATAAAAAAGTATTCCAGTACTTGCTTTGTCATGTTGAAGTCAGACTAGATAGACGTTGATCAGATAAACACATCTATCTTCTTTCTTCACTCGTTCTCCCTTTCTGTTCAGGGACCTTCTGGGCCTCCCGGACCACCAGGAACTGATGTGAGTATAAAAAATATTGAATCAGTCCATTTCATTTAAACCCTCGCCCTCATTTCCGTCCCATGACAGGGCGGCTAAGGACCTCAGACCTAATTCCCCCTTGAAGCTGCGCTAGTTTTCACCCTGAAATTGATACTGTGGGTTCAGTCGAAAGCTACACATTCAATTTCCTGAACACAAAACCCCGTAGCCTTTCACCGCCCAGTCCTCCGTGTAAAATATCACCACTGTCATGTTTTGTTTTTTCATTCTGGAGTAGCTTGAAACAATCTAGTCTACATAAAGTTATGTAATGTGATCAAACAGTGCATTGCTGTACTGTAACATTGAACTCCACCTTCTCTCTTCAGGAATGTGAAATTCTGGATATCATCATGAAGCTCTGCTGTAAGTTGAAAACGCTCAACAGAAACGAAGCCACATGTACTCCACGTTGCCCTTTTCAACTCAGTGCTTGATGCAATCGAAACCTTAAAAAATGTGAGGGTTTACCCAGGTTATGTTACGTTAATTAACTTTGATTTGTTTGTTTTTCTCCCCCGTCCTTTCCTAATCGCGCCACAGCTTGTTGTGGTAAGTTTGTGCTCAATTAAAACAAAGTCATCGTCATCATTGTCTCGCGCCGCTCCAAGGCTGTTGTCATCCATTGCGATCTTGTTTATGTCCCCAGAGTGTAAGTGTGCGGCTATGGACCTGGCGTTCATTGTGGACAGCTCAGAGAGTATCGGTGCCACAAACTTTGCTCTCGCCAAAGACTTTATCATCACAGTCATAGACAGACTGACCAAAGATCAGCAACTCAAGGTAATGGCCTAGCTTTTTATCTTAGCCTCTGTTGGATAACTGGCATGTGTTTATTCAAAATGACACCAAAAACGTTTTTAAGAGATGTTAGGAAACGCTGCCCCGAGAACAGACCTCAAAATAGAAAAATGTAAATGAAAGATATTGTCTCTTGGTTTTGGAACTTGCTTTTATGTCTCTCCAATGACTCTCCCCTTCCAGTTTGGATATAATTAGTCAGGATGGGTGGGATGCAGAAATGTTGACACAGGAAAACACATGCTCACAGACATAACACAACACAGACCAAAACACACAGTCACCATGCAATGATTTTCTTTCCAGTTTGCAAGCAATGATTCCGGGTTGAGCGTAGTCCAGTACAGTGGACCGAAGGCCCAAGAAGTTGTCCGACTGGGAGCCGCTGGCCTCATCGCATTTAAAGAGTGAGTTGACATGCATTCAACCAGAGCCCTGTCTGCCTCGCTGGCTTGCGCTTCTTTGGTAGCGATTCAGCGTCATCACACGTGCAATTTTCAACAGTGTTCTGTCTTATTAAGAGTGAGAAGATTAATTATAACATCATCTCTTAGCCCCCAGTTTAGAAATTGCCCCACAACATGTTCAGCCAAGCTTAAGCTTAACGAGATAAGCAAGAGAATACAGTTAGCTCTATCAAAAGGGCTTTGCAGCATCTCAGTAGTCTTATTTACACATTTGTGTATTTACCGTGTTTATTTTAAATATGAAATTAAATGTAGTTAAAAAGGATAGTTTCACATTTTGGGAGTTGCACATATTAGCTTGCTCTCCAAGAATGACGGGAAGATCAAAAATCATGTCATCATACGTCTATGAGATTAATACGGAGCTGGAGCCAGGAGGACGTTAGCTTATTTTAGCATAAAGACGGGTTCAGGGGGAAACAGCTAGCCTGGTCTCTTTGTGTTGTAGCTAACCTACGACACTTCTAAATATTAATGTTAGCTAACATGCTGTGTCTCGTTTGTTTAATCTGTACACCAGCAGAAATGTCAAAGCAAAAGTTTTTGCTGTTAGGATGGAAAAACACAGTTTCACTATTTATGTATATTTATATTTCTACAACAAATGCGCTACAACTTGTTAAGAGAGAGCTTTAGAGGTGCTGGTGTTTCGTGCATGGGTTGGTGAGAAGCTTTCTGGCTAACACAGTGCTACATGTGAATACGAATTTATTGACGGAGGCTAACAATTTTCCCCTGCTCCCAATTAGCTACACTAACACAATCCAGACATGTAACTCTAATGAACAAATAATAAATAAATGAATAAACAATAAAATAGATCAATCCTTATATTTGCACGTAATAGTGTTTTTTTATTTCATTGATTTCCTTAAAAATATGTTGATTTTTGTGTTGTAAAATGTGTGTGTGTGTGTGTGTGTGTACAGGAAAGTGAGAAAAATGGACTGGCTGGCTGAAGCCACGTACACAGGCGAGGCCCTTGATTACGCTCTGACCAACACACTCAACCTGATGACGCATGACAACAAAGTGGTTATCGTTCTAACAGACGGACGTTCTAATATTATCAGGGACAGGATTCCCCTCAACGTGCTCTGTGGTAAAGATCTCCGGGTAAGTACAATACACCTGGATAGACGACACTAACGGGCCTGCAGCCGGGCATTTACAGAGAGGAGTGTGTGCCATCAGTCTTGAAATATGCTGCAGGTTTAGTCACCTAACGCTTGAAATGTTGTGTTTTCCTTAACATAAGTAAAAACATTTCCACCTTAAATTAGTGCATAGAAATTCACCAGAATGCAGGAAATGGTGTGTTTGAATGCTCAAAATTTCCAGGTGGGTGGTGTTAAAGCAGCAGCAATGCCTCACGCTATCCCTGCTCGATAGCAGTAGTGTTGTTACTGCAGTGAAACATTATCTCCAGGACAGAAAAGCCTGCTGGGTTTAGTCCAATCAGATCGTGGCTCTTTTGTAAACAGCCTCTCAGAGCGCTAGCGATTACCAATTCACAGGCTAATTAGAAAGTTGATTTTGGAAGTAATGTTTAACAAAATGTTAAAGTAACATAGACCAATCCCAGCTGTTCATGTGGTGTTTTTATCAAATTTTCCCTAGTTTTTATAAAAGAATAAAGTGGGTTTGAAAAACGATGGCGATAGAGTTGTGACGCTCTACCCTCCAACTAGCATCGAAACGACATTTAACCCCGCCCGAATTCCACAGTTAAACCAATCTAAACAGGGCTAAATCATGGTGGGTGGGATTAAACGTTTGACGTTGCAGCCAGGTGCTCCTCCCTTTTTTGACGACAGGAGATCATTGTTATTGGGTGAAAAATATATAAAAGATCTCCCACGAAGAACTAGTCGACACCTTTTTAGAAATGGTCAATGACTGTCCTTGCCACACTGTTTGTTTAAAATATAAATACAATAATAATTAATAACTTATGAAGAAATAATGAAGAACCCGCTGAATTAAAAACCTCCTTCCTCCCCTGCAGGTGGGTGGTTTAGGAGTGAAGGACTACTCAGGCCGTGAACCCAACCAAGAGCAGCTTGGGGAACTGGTTTGTAAGAGTGACACCAAACCAGGCTTTTCCTTTGTCTTGGACAACTATGCCGAGTTGCTCGATGACTCTTTCCTGCAGAACCTCACATCCAGAATCTGTCAAGGTAAACACACACACACACACATACCGTATGTCATTTCTATCAAGTGAATATTTTTTACTAATCCCAAATAAACTGTCTTATTAACCCCTGTTGTTCTCTCATTCAGATAAGAAGTGCCCAGACTACAAATGTCCCAGTAAGTCTGTTTTTCTTCACCAGTACCATGGTTCACTGTTTTCAATGTTTACCCGATCTTACCGCTGTTGACCCAGTTTGCCATTTATATCTTTAGTAACATTTTCTCTCTTTCTGATATTCGGTCTATATGAGTTTAAAATTCATTCAAATGATCAGACACAACAAAGACGCACAGGGAATGAGAGCTGAAATAAAACATAAAACAACCAACGGTTTGGAGCCATGAAATGTGCAAGTGAATTGTATAAATGCTATCTGGCTGTCTTTCACCTTGATACCTCTCTAGACTGTTATTTACAGAGCCACTGGAAACCGCTATGGATCAGATTTATTGTGTGTGTGTGTGTGTGTGTGTTGCAGTCACTTTCTCTGAAAGTGCCGATATTTTGGTGATGATGGACAGCTCGGCAAGCGTTGGGCAGAAGAACTTCGACACTACCAAGACCTTTGTCAACCGCTTGGCCAAGCGTTTCCTGTCTGCCGAGAGGAAGAGCAGGGCCACCGTCAAAATGGGTGTGGGCCAGTACAGCCGAAGCGCCAGCATGGAGCAGGCGCCAACTTCCAATTTGACCATGCTGACCTATAAAACTGAACAGGCGGCCTTCCAAAACGACGGCACCAACGTGTTGGAGGCAATGGAATTTGCCGTGAAGAGTTTACGTGGTCGTGGGGACGCATCGGGGGGCAAGAAGAAGCTGATGCTGTTCTCTGACGGCAGGTCTCAGAACGTCACCGAGCCGTTGCTGGAGAAGCGCGTTCGTGAGGTGGCGGACGCCGGGGTGGAGGTCTTTGTCATTGCCGTTGGCAGCCAAGTCAATGAGGTCAACCTGCGCACGCTGGTGAGCAAGGGACGGCAGGACGACATCGGCTACGCCCAGCGCCACCTGTTCCGTGTCGCAGACTACACCTCTCTGCTTCGCGGGGTCTTCCACCAAACAGTCTCCCGCCGGGTGTCCATCCCCTGAGTGCACGGCCCCGAACAACAGGACCAACACGCTTTAGATTCTTAGTCCCAATATGAATATTCAGTCTCACTCATTTACCATACACTGTGTTCGAGTACTTTAAAAAAATAAAAAATAATAATTGTCACAAAATGTGTGACGGTCAAAATTAAATGTTTTAATGAAGTGTACCTGGGACTTTTTTACCCTGAGTTGAGCTTCCAAGGCAGATTATCTCAGGCTGTGTACACATTCCACTTTCTGTGCTGAGATCATTGGACTATAACCCAAAAGATGGTGCTAGCCTAAACAATTTTATTACTACTTGTGACATTACACAACTGTTAGAAATTGCTGCCTGGAAAGTCAATTTCAGGGTTAAAAATATCCCAATTCGAAAGGGGTTGCTTCGTCCCTGGAGAGCCATAAAGGCCACAACTAAACTAAATGTATAGCATTTAAATGCATTGGGCTGATTTCTACTCAGGTACACTGCATCCCTGCATCATTTTCAACTAGTCTGGACCCATCCTCTGCCTTACTTAAACTAACAAGTGTGGGTTGAAGATGGCTCATCAAGGCTACACTCATCTTGTCACTCCATGACTTGGAGCTCCTGCCATTCGAAGGATTTGTGTTAAGAGTTAAATGTGGACTCCTCTTTGTAGCTCTTACCACTTTTTCAAGAGGTGTCGGAGTTATGGTGTCACAATTTTACGACATAGGCAGACCAGCTGTCGATGGAAAACTTACAAATTCTTTGGCGAGTGCTAGTTTTACCGAAATAATTGTGAACCTGGAATGTTGACGCGTGATTGGCTAATCCACTTTGTTTATGGTTTGCACAGGTCAGTTGTAAAAGCCATAACTTATTCCCAACTTTGTGAAGTCACACCCGACATCACTTGAAAAATTTGTTTGATCACCAAACCGACAGGGAAAACAGGAAATGACATCAGGCAGACTTCAAAACAATCCAATCCACACTTCCCCTGGTGATAATGACGACATCACAGCTGGACTCAACATGTGTGAGTCTAGCTGTAGTGTGTGTATCTGTATGTGTGTGAGCGCCTCTGTGTGTGGAGGTTTTTTATGTGTAGCCCTGGGTGATTGTTCTATAAACAGTTGTGCCGGGGTCACTATTTCAAATGACAGAATGACAGAAACCTGTTCTTTGTTGTCTGTGAAGCAGAGAGGCCTCTGTTACATACACACAAACACACACACACTTAGGTGCCCCATCATTGAGGTAGGAAAACATCTGGAAAAGAAACTTATGGGACTCATGCTGTGAGGCCCTCACACCCACATACACACAGAAAACAGTGTGTAACTTTTATGATCCCCTCAAGTTTCAGTTTCGTTGTCATCAGTGGCCCAGAGTCTCTGTACTGTTGTTATTATCTGTGGTGCTATTAGTCTCAGTGTATCAGCCTTTACCCATGTTAAAGAAGATATTTTTACCTGAGGATACAAAACCTCAGTGTTGTGAGAGCTCCTTCAATAAAGGTTGCTACACCAAAGTGTCTCAGCTCACTTTTGTCCACACAAATCTATGACTGCCAAAGCCCGTATACAAAGATGCATTTTTATATGTTCATGCAACTCTAAAGATCCTCTTCTGAAATAGATTAACTCTCTGTGAAATTCAAACACTGGACGATGAATCACGACTAAGCTCAATGAAAAATATTGTAATTTTATCCCAATAGTGACATAGCGCTAACCTTCTCAGACTTTGGTGATGCCCTGACTTTTCATCGAGCACCATCATCCTGTCAAAACAGTCATTTTTCCATTACTTTTATTTATATACTTTGTGTTGAGTGCTAATTAGCAAATAGTACCGTAACATGCTAAACTAAGATTGTAAAACATAATTGCACCTGCTGAACATCAGTATTTTAGCATTGTCCCTCTGAGCATATTAGCCTGCTGATGTTAGCATTTAGCTCAAAACGCTGCATGCGTATGAGTACAGCCTCACAGAGCCGCAGGCATGGCTATAGACTTCTAAGCTTGTTTATTACCCTTCATAACATTTATTCACCAACGTTGCTGACCTGCAGCTACATTGCTACAGCGGGGTCTAAAAGAGAAAATGGCAGCAAACTTTAAAACCACTATTCGGTTTTTCAGTCACTAGATTTTGCTGTCTCACGCAGATTTGACCTATTGTATTTTCTGTAGCTGTGTGCACAGTTGTTAGCTATTCTAGCGATGCGACTCTAGAGCATGGTTGATCGATCGATTACCTTCACTTTTGTCTCGAGTGACATATCTACTAATATTTCCTAACTACTGAATGACTTGCTTTCAAATTTGTGCTGTCGAAGATAATCCACATTGTTCATGGTGACTGCAGTATATCTTCTAAAAATGAAATGCTGTCAAACTGCATTGGGGCAACAGCCACACTTTGCATTAATTGTGTAGCATCTGCTTTCATTGCCAAAGGCTTTGGGCGTGCGTATTGTTGCTTTTCCAAACTCGGCTAACATTTTGAGCATGGGGCTATCCCCATATAGCGTTCCCTCCAGCCAAACAGCTAAAACACACACTCCTTTAGAACTATTCTATCCAGCCACTGGATATGCCCCACTTTGCTATCCCCAAATGACATATTGCTGCTATCTCTAATCATCAGCATGTTAGTATCGTCATCACAAGCATGCTAGCATACTGACGTTCGCATTATGCTCAAGCAACTCTGTGCTGAAGCACAGCCTCCCAAAACCGCAAAACTAGGCAAAAAGTGGGAGTATGTTTACTACCTGTTTTTCACTGTTGTCACCTGACTGCTCATTTTTCTACCTTGTTGATCTTTAGTGATGTCATCATGTCCCCTGACCTAAGCACATAACTTTGCGAGTAAAACGTTATAATGACCACTAATAAAGACTCAGGTTGTCAGAAAAAGCTGATTTATTCTTTAACTACTGGATGCAGCAGAGTGACAGTGTAGTAGGCAGACTCCCCCAAATACC